ACTTTTTTGACTATTTTAGGAATTCTAAGAGAGATGACAGAATTAAAGATTGAGAATGAAAAAATGATAAACGTTATTATTTTTTCTGGAAAATAAGAGTTAAAGCAAAAAAAAAGTTTCAGAAATCCATTCAGTGCTCATTAATCGTTGATAATCAATGAAATTGAAAACTTATTTAAATGTTGAAATTAAAAAATTTTTTTTGAAAATCACAAATATGTTGTATTTGAGGAAATGAATATTTTGATTTTATTCTAGCAAATGAAATCTCTCACAACCTTTTTTTCGAAAATTTGAAAAACTAATTACAAAATAAGCTTCATACAATTATTCGTTGTCTATCTTATTGATAAATGATCGATAATTCATTAATTTTAGTTTTATAGGCAACAACTCTATTGACAAATAATTCATTATTTTCATGTTTACAATTACTTTACTGATAAGTGATAATAGTCATTTCTACTCAATAATATTGCAGATTTTTTCTTTTTGTTAGTACAACAGAATTATTTCAAAGATTGCTGAAAATGAACCAATTAATTTAAAGCACAGAATTATATTTTGCAATTTTGAAAATTGCAGTAATCTTACTTGTACAGCATATCCTCGATGTGCTAAAAACATCTGTATCGGTAAAGTACGTCCATGAATTTGATTAAATACAGTTGAAGCAACCTGTAGATTTACAATTATATCAACTTAAAAAATAATTGAGAATAAAAATTACCGACAATTTTTAAAAATTTAGAAACTATTGTAGGAATTTTAGAAGTTTAAAATCATCCAAGCACGTAAATGCTAAAATTTTGCACCAAAAATTAGTGCTAAAACCTTTCTACATTTATTATCCATGACGAAAAAGCAAATAGAAGTAAAATTTTTTAAATTTTTATGTAAATTTTAACACTTTTATTCAAAATTTCCACTATGATGTTTATAAAAAAAGAAATTAACTTACATGTGCCGTGTAATCATCCTTGCATTCCTCGTTGTTGAAACACGATAAATAATGTCGGTTTGCGGCACAGAGATGCTGATTTCTCGGCATCATAACATGTGTTACGCTTCTTAACGAACGTATATTTGATGTTTCCGATGGCCGAATTTGATCGTTTTCAATATTTCGTGTAATACGCATTGTCTAAAACGCAGTTGATTTTATTTCCAATTTTAATATTATAATCATCAAATTTTCCTATTATTTAAAGCTTAATGTTCTTTTTGTTATTCATGAAAAATTCATAAAAAAGCATTAAGCAATCCAAATGTAAAATACCTGAAAGGCAGTTTGGAAACATTGTTCAAGTTTTAAACGATTACAATGATTTTGATTAATACTGGATCCAAAGAAGAATGCCATATTTGGCAATAATAATAGCAATAATGGTAATGTATTAGTTGTTACTGTAGTTATCGTAATCATTTGTGTATCGCATGATCACTTCAACATCATCTTTCGCATCATTCCAATCATTTTTCAATCGTTGATAAAGCAATTTTGATAAAGTCTAAAATAAACCGTTGTGATTTTGAAAAGTTGAAAATAGTAAACATTTGAAAAAAAAAGGAAAAATTCGAAAAGAAGTTCTTAAAGGTGATTTTGATCAACCGTTTAAATCAAATTTTGAAAATTTTCATAAAAATAAATTAAAACATTGCTTTATGAGAATCATTAAGGGCAACTAATTTTGTTGAAAAAAGGAAAATTCATTTCATTAAATACTTAAAGCCAATTTAATTCAACCGATTATACGAGCACATTTATGTTTTACTTGTTATATAATATACAATATACGACGTAGATGCTACCGTAAGAAATGTTACGAAGCTAGAAAAATGGTTCGTTTAATGCATTGTGACAAAATAAATATGCCAGTCATTTTATGATCATATTTAAAATACAAAAAATAACAAGGGCAAAAATTACCCACTGTTGATGATACAGAAGACATAAAGATTGTATGCATATTAAATGTGCAATGCATACAGTAATATTAGATACTACCGTAAGCTAAGAGAATTTCAGGCTTGATAGAAAGTATTATGATGGAAAAGATTCTAAAATCGATACTACTCGCTATATCAATTTTATTAAAATGATGTTCATTATCCTTTAAATGATTATAAAATGGAAGAAAGTATGAGTGTTGTAAAATAAGAAAAATTGAAAGCAGATTTTTTTTTTCCAGTAAATGAAGGTTTAAAAATTTGAAATATCTGTATTTCAAACATAACCTCTATGTTTATATATAGAATGAAACAAAAATAATGATAAGCAATAAATAATTTTGTGACAAACAAAGATTTTTTTTATTATGAAATAATAATTAAGTAAAATTTCTCGTGCAAAATTACGACAAACTTGTACTAAAAATAAGTACAGCTCTTTAAAATTTTTTTATGAAATGAAAAAAAAACTATTTTATTTGTTATTTATTATTCAAATTTCAAAAAAAAAAATGTTTAAGAAAATTAAACATTTAATTTTGAAATTATTTCTAACCAAAATTTTGTAATTTTAACAGAAACGATCTTATATAATAAATATTTTTTTCCAATAATTTGTTGTCTGCACAAAATATAAAAGTAAAATTCATGTTTAACTCAAACTTTTTGGTAATGGCAACCTACTATGAAAATAATATGTGTTTTTCCTTCTCTCAATATTATTCTACAAAATTTAGCACAAATTGGTTCCTATTAATTCCTATTAAAACAATATGTCATTATTTTCAACTTTCTTCTGATCTTGCATTAATTTATTTTGCAATTTACAATGTCAATGAGGAACATTTGCTAGAAGTAATAAGTTTAATTAAAAATATAAGAGGCATGCGTTTAAATGTGTTTTTTTTTTGCTAAATTTTTTCTTTGTCAATCAAACTTTATGTCACAGCGAAGAAAGAAGGAAAATTAATTAATGGAAATTAAAAAAAAAATAAGGAAATTAGAGGAAAAGTGAACGAATATGAATTAATGATAGAGAAGAAAAAGTAGCAAATATGAATGAATTTCTATTCAATACTTAAAATCTATTTTTATCACTTAGATATTTTACATTGAAGAGCAATGAAAATATTTCCAGTTCATTTCAGTTCGATATTTCATTTATCAGCAGACGAAAATCATTCTTTACACAATGAATATAAGCGGAAAAATATTTCCTAATCAGGCAGTGAATTGTACTTTTCATTTTTATTCAAACGTTGGATACTCTTAAAATTTAGTTTGATCTATTATGTTTCTTATCTAAATAAAAGTAAGAGAAGAGAGAAAAAAACGAGCGAAATTAATAATTTATAAATTGCCAAATTTTAATTCGCCGATAAAAAAACAAAATTTATTAGAATTGAAACTTTTGAAAATATTTTTTAAGTTTTTGAAGAAAGAATGAAAGCTAAGAAATCAGCGTATCAAATATAGCAGAAAAAAAAATTTTATAGAAAAAGGAATAATTAAAATTTGTCACCAAGTTAGTTAAAATTTCATAGCAATACTATGTGTCAAATTTGAAAATAATTTCCTTCTAAACTGAAAGAGAATACAATATTGTTGCTACTGTTGAAAATGCTTTAATTTTAGAACACCGCAAAAAATGAAACGAAAAATTCAACAAGAAGTGGTTAGTGAAGCGTTAAATAACTAGCATAAAATATTCATGAAATTCTTATTCAATTTAAAAATGCATAAAATAAGTGTAATAAAATTAGGTTTGAAATGTTTGAAATGTTATAAAAGTATCAACTGCAAAGAATTAGGAATGTTAAGAGATAATTTTTTCTTCATTTCAGTTCATTTATTTTGTTTTTGACATGCTAACATTTTCTTACTTATATCTATTAGCAATATTAATTATTAAAAACTAGTGACTAGGCAGACAAAATTAATTTATAATTTATTATCTGATTTTTGTAAATATTATATATGAAATTTGAAATTATGTAAAAAGGATAAAAATTATAAGAAATTATTGAGAAACATATAAATCAATTATAATTTGAGCTGAAAAATAAACAATTCAATAGTGAAAAATAGCAAGAATCATAGTAAAAATATTGCCAATTAAAGAGGATAAATAAACTTTTGAAGAAAAAAAAAATTGGTATAAATTTGCCATTCTTTATCTTACGTTGTTTAAAATTATTTAATGAATATATCAATACTGCTTAATTATTAATCCTATTATAGTTGATTATAATTTATTGTATATACTAACTATTCCAATAATTTATTTCATATGGAAATATTAATCTAATAGAATTTGTCATAATTTTGCTATGCATTAATTATTTCCCATTAATTACTGCATACATTAATATCTCCATAAATTACCATAATACATTACGTACATTAATTATTTGTCATAATCATTGTAATCCAATAACTGATAAATTTTTATTGATTTAATTGATAACATCAAGATAAAGAATGAGAAATTTACGCTAATTTTTTCTCCTTTTTTTCTTCATTCTCCCAATAATTTATTTATTTTCTTAGTTGGCAATATTTTCCTATAATTTTTATCATTTTTCGTATATCCTTCTCCTAAATTTTATCTCTTGAAGTTGATCAATTATTAAGTATAAGATTGCCAAAATAAATACAATCTAATTTCAATTAAATGTTTATGAACATGGCTAACTTTATGTCAAAATATTTTGTAGGATCACTGCTGGAAATTTCATTGATTTATATGTGTTAATTACAAGAGAATGATGTGTAAGAAAAGAAAACGAAATATATTAAATTAAAATTTCTATTTAAATCAAAATTTCTATTTCCTCTTTCTACTTTTTTTTCCTCGCTTTAAAAAAAAAAATAAAACTGATGACTTTTTCTTACATTCTTTTTTTTTTTTTTTTTATTTTTGAGTTTCTTACATTTCTGTACAAATATACAATTCTTTATTATCCATTAATCTTTTTCCTATGTATATGTAATTTGATATTGTAATTTAGACTTAAATTGATCCACAAATCAGTTATTTATACCAATTTTTATTTGCAGGAAAAAAAAACTCAGCAAATTTGATGCGATAAAATTCTTTAACTACTTCAATTTTGCATAAAATCCCGATAAATTCGGTGATAGAAAACCATCCTAATTATCGTATCTAAATAACTAAGTTGATTAATTCCATATGAAGATGATTATAATATCATACAGGATACTAAAAAAAAATGAAAATGCACGATTGAAAAAAGAAAAATGATCGAAAAAAATTAGAAGAAATGGAAAAATAAGAGAAAAGAAGTACAAATTTTGCATAATGAATTCAGAATAATTACGAATCGTTCCAATAACTTCCTCCTAGCAAAAGTTTAATAAATTTAAAACCTGTAGATTTCATATTTTCAGCTTCTTATTCGCACCTTTTCCTCTTCTCTCATCGATTTTATATGATTATGCTTGAAAAAAAGTGTAAAAGAATTTGACACGAGTTTGGAAAAAAATTTAGCATAAAATTACAAATAAACAATAAAACAAATGAAAATTTTCTCAAAACAATATTTTTTTCATGTTTTTTCAATTCATTTAATTTCATTTTTGCAAATATTTTTTAAAAAAATTTTTTTAAGCTAATTTATTTGATGAAAAATAAATTTTATTCACATATGATTTTCAGTATTCTTTCTATAAATAATGCCAATTATGCAATAATGATTTTCGATCTAGCCCTGTTTAGTAATTGATATAAATTGATGTAATTTATTTTTCAATTTAAAAATTTGCAACTTTCAAATATATTCATATTTAAAGGAAAAAGTTCAAAATTTTGCAAAAAAAAAAAAACTGGAAGGAATTGCTTATACAAATTTTTTGTATGGATATGAAAAAAAAATGATGATAAAACGTGCGATTGCTAAAAACGATTCATTGCTCAAAAATTTTTTAAAAGCACTTTTATATTTCCATTTTTCATGTATTATTTCCTTCTTTTTTTTATTTTTCTATAATAGGTTTATATTCCACGATTACTATTTTTTTCATAAAATTTCATCATATTTTCAAAATCCTTAACAAAAAATTCAATTCAATCTCATTATTATTTATAAATGCTATTCATAAGAGATTGACTTTTGCATCTATATTC